CAATGTATTTCAAAACATTACTCTTTTTTTTTTTTTTCCCAAATGAAGCATCGTTGTTCCTAAAAAAACCCAGAAGATTGGAAACAACGTTAGGTGACTTTTGAAAACTGACAGTTTTAAAAACATGTATGCTTTGTAACATACAAACTCTGACAGTTGCACAAAATTACTGATTTTTAGCACATGCATAAAAAGTTTACATTTTGTTTTGAAAACTGCTACACAGTACAAAACCAAAAGCTTGAATTAGGTCAAATAATTTGGTAAGATGTCTGTGGTTGTAAAAATAAAGCTCCAGTCATGCAGTAAGTTTAATGAATAGTGTTTTAAACATCACTTTTAGTTCAGTTACATTCAGTTAGATTCTAGATTGATAATTTAAAAATGTGTTTGCCAATAAAAAACATTGTTTAAAGAAACATAAACACTCCCAACAAATTGTGTGTAGTGACAATAATCTTGATTAAGTCTATTGGTATAAGAAAAGGATCATTTACACTGTAAAAAAGTAATCAGTCTACTTTTAAGAACTACTTGTAAACTTGGCTAATTTTGACAAATTTGTAGACTTACTAGATTTGACACTGTTTTATGAACATATAAATGGTGAATTCAGTATTGACCTTATTCTAAAATGCGGAAGTGCGCCTGTTTTCGCGATTGTCTTAGAACTTCCGATTCAGTCACCTATGGGAGAAATGACTAGGAATAATAAACGGCAGAAAATGGCCAAACTACTTGCTCAACAAACAAATGTTTGCACGACTACACAGACCAAGTAGCATATTATAATAAGAAAATATTAAATTGCAACATCAAGCAGCGTAACGAGCATTTGTTAACGTCAAAAAATGAATGGAAGTGAATGTGACCGGAAGTCGCGAGACAAAAAGATTCAAATAGCAGCGCCCACTCGACAGCTGAGAATAAGGTGAATAGTTAAACTAGAAAATTTTACTATGAAACATTAAGTAGATTTAATTAATGGCTGGATCTGTTCTGTTTTTAGATAAACTGAGTCATTTTTTCTTCTTTTAATAAATATCAGTGTTATTCCATTATTCTGAATAATATACGTATTTCTCTTTATATGATCAAGTATTTGTAATGAATTAAAAACAGTTTGAATCTAAAATTCAGTAACTAAGTTGCCTAGTAATGCAATTACTACAAGTTATACATTTTATTTATCTTTTGAAACAGAAATAACAATAATGTCTAAAGATTAATAAGTCCTTTCTGTAAATCTTTTATGTTGATTTTTTTTTAAACCAACACCAGTGATGACCAGTGCTCAAAACATTAGGCTTTGGATTGACTGTTTACAATGCAAGCCATAAATTACAGGACATGCATGTAAATAAATTGAAAACATGTTAGTCAAAGGAAAAACTTTCATTTTAGAATGTTTTTCATAATAAAGGTTTTCATTAATCACAAAGACAACTTGAATTTACATCTGTGTTTTTCAACCAAGAGTTTAGAACATTACATTTTAGATAACGTTGTTTTAAAAGGTGTGACAATTTATTGTCAATACAGATTAAGATTTGTTATTTACTGGATTAATATTGTAAACATATTTAAATTTAATAGTCCGACAAAGATACATCAAAATGTTTGTGTGTCTTAAAATATGTATTAATGTAGTAATAATGTGAAAAACAACATAACCTATTAATGAGCATATTTAGTAAATATTGTGTCGTGAATTAAAGCATACAAAGCCAGACCCAAGTTCGCTCGAGCGCACGCACACGTACGTAAACACACACACACACACACACACACACACACACACACACACACACACACACACACATATGCATACAGTTGACTGCATGTGGATATATAGATATCGGCACGCTTTCTAATCACCTAACAACATATAGTATTTAGTGGGAGACACCCACCACATACAATCAGATATAAATATTCTACATCTGATATAAATCTATCTTTCACAAGCAGTTGACGAGATGTTATCCAAAGTTTTCCTTATCATCACTTACACGCTCAGACACAGACTGACACACAGAGGAAACACAAACAGGCTAAACATAATCAAATGTTTATGTTAATAGTTTAGTAATTATAATATAATATAATATAATATAATATAATATAATATAATATAATATAATATAATAATGTAATGATATAATATAATATAATAATGTAATGATATAGTATAATAGAATAATAATGATATATAATATAACATAATTAAATTTAATAAAATATAAAAATTTATAATATAATAATATAATATAATATGATACACTTATAATATAAGATAATAAAATAATGATTTAATATAACCTATGATATAATATAATACAATACATAATATTATTTAATAAAATATTAATTTTATATAACCTAATATAATATAATTTAATGTAATATAATGAATATAATTTGCAGCACTAATAAAAAATATTAAATAATGGTTCTAATAACATTAATTTAATTACCGATATTATTATTATATTAATTTTATTTCAGTTTGATTAGAATTTCATTACCAGAAATATTTCCATTACCGGAAATAGCCTATTAATTTAATTTGACTGATAAAAATCTAATTACCGGAATCATTAATTTAATTAGTCTGATAAAAATCTAATAACCGGAATTATTATTTTATATTAAACCGATAAGAATCTAATTACCGGAACTATAAAGTTTATATAAAAGGGGCGGGGCTTAGACCGGAAGTCCCGCCTTAGGGGCAGGGCTACAATCCATCAAACTTTTTGACAGGTGGTACCCCATAAGACTCTCTTGTCTCTCCTGCCTGCTTCAGCAGCGTGTCCCGCTGGTTATAAACTAGGAGACGGAGAGAATGCGTTTAGTTTCGGCTCGATATATTTAAATGAAAACTAACACCGAACTGCTTATAATGCTCAAAAAGTTAAACTAAAATGCACAACTCTTGTTGGTTGCACCCGCGGAATGCACAATGAACCTAACGCGCCATTATTTTATTTATTCGTGAAGAATGAGCCAATCGCAGATGCTAAGTCATGTTGGTCAGGACACTCTGCTTTATAACTTATTAGTTTATTACAATAATCACACTTAGCTTTGCCATCTTTCTTCACCACATGTTACCACTGAGCACATCTTGAGGTCCATCTTGGACCGCAACAAATGTTAAGATTATTGAAGGTGCTCTCCGGCGGCAAGGTTTCTGGCAGAGTAGCGAGTGAAAAAATGTGCATGCAGAAATTGAAATGAAATTTTAAATTATATAACAAGCATCATATTCTTTCTAATCCTCACCCAGTTTTAATACAAGTTGTGTTTTTTTTTTATATTTGTGGCTGTGAAGTTTATTAAGAATATATATATATATTGAGATACTGAGTCGTTACAAGTAAAAAAAAAAAAAAAAAACAATTTTATTTTAAAGAAGAACATTGATGTTTTGAGGAAAAAAACTGAACAGAACTTAAACTAAATTATTAAAAATAAACTTGCGGGACTTAATTTATGTTCTGCAGCAACAATATTTTTATTATACTTTAAGTGATCTGCTTGAGGTAGATCATGTTTATCAATGGTAAGTTTTAGCCTAAGTTTATATCAATAACATAATGTGCATTGTCCTTTTCCATACAAAAAAAAGAAAAAAACAATATTATGCACCATAGTAGCCTGTAGCCTATAAAAAGGCCGCAAATCTTTTTAAATGCATTAAAAGGCAAGCGCATATCTTAGCCTTGAGTTTGTTCACACTCTGCCGGTATTAACATAAATGCTGTTTTTTTTAATATAGCTAATTTTGATGAATTAGCTCTAACTGACAGCTTTTTCTTCTTTTTCCGCGGTTATGCGCGCATTATATTTCACGCATTAAGTTTACATATGCAAGGTGACTGAAATTGAAATTAAAATACAAAACATACTGAGCCATTAAGTAAAAAAACAAAACAACAGTTATACTTTAAAGGAGAACATTGACGTTTTGAAACAAAAAACGGAACTGAAACTAATTATTAAAAATAAACCTGCAAGACTTATGTTATGTCCTATTTTAATTATTCTTTTACTTTCATTATTCGTTTATTATTATGTACAATAATTGAAACATAAAATGAGATAGTAAAATATAATCAAAAACGAAAATGTAATCAAAACTTAAATAAAAATATTAATGAAAATGTCTTGTCTTAGTCTTATCAAAATAGCAAACACTGAACTAAAAACACTAAAAGACTGCTTTATTTGTTTATTTATGTAAAACTACTTATTTGTACTGAATGTTTGTGCTTTCATTTTAGTTGCCTTTTATTTCTTCAATTCTGTTTTCCAAAACGAGTCCTCTTAGCACTTAAAAAGTTTACAATAAAGCTTGTTAACAAATTTTAAATGATTAATTAAGGAAATATAATGCTTTGACTTATTGTTTAATCTCATTTACAAGCACAGTAGCATATGTAAAGCTGCTGTATAGGCTATTTCTGTCCGTTCGCATTCCGTGCCTTTGTGCCCCCTGGCGGCTTATTCACAAACTGCGGTAAAGTTTACAAATGTTTGTGAACTGTCATGGTTTCTGCTGTTCTGACATCAGCTGCAGATGTGAATGAATAGCAGCAGAAAGTATTTTCTCATACAAAAGGATCTTGAGACTCTCCGTGTTTGATTTTCTTTTTTATATACCCCATCATGTCGTTGAACTGTTGTATAAACACAATATTACACATGTAGCAGTCACTGGTGGGACACAATGCACACCTGCCACAAGTGCCACTACACAGCCACATCACACTGCAACTTGTGTGATATATATATATATATATATATATATATATATATATATATATATATATATATATATATATATATATATATATATATATATCTGTGTGTGTGTGTGTGTGTGTGTGTGTGTATGTACACAAGTACATTTTCTTAATCTTTAAAAACTAATATTTATTTTTACCAGTTGCATTAATTCAAGAGATGTTGAGAAAATGGAATAGTTTTACGCATTTGGTTTAAATTCGTTTATTTGTAGCATCACAAAGAAATTTTAAAGGCCATTTACCCAAACCAGAAATGACCAATCAATATTATGTAAATATGTCACTGGCTGAAAAATCACTGAAAATCACTAGACACTAAAACCCCACAGACATTCTGAAAGACTCATTCATTCAAAATAAACACCAAAAACGGTAGCAGCAGCAAAGAGTGAGTTATTTTTGAAAATATGTGAAGAGAAATTGTCATGATTGTCATCCCAGAGACATCGACTCCCCATGCGTATATTCTGGTCTTTAATCTGGCCAATGCTGATGACGACTATGATCTTATAGCGAGGAATCATCAAATCTTTCACTCTGGCCTTGACAACCTGAAATTAGAATAACAACAAAAACTTATTTAATTTGTATGCATGTCTATATATTTATACAGCATACTACTAGTAAAAACAAAGTAGGATCTAATAAGTCTAATTACTAAGTCTACACTAAAGAAAAAAAATCGTAAAAAAAAAAGGTCAAATGACTGGCAGCTACGGCTACCAAACAAAAACCATACAATTACGGTAAAATGTCTTTGTTGAAATAAAGTGCAAAAAATAATAAATCTACAGATATTTTCATTAAAAGGTTTACAGAAAAACACTGTTATTTTACAGACTTTTCCTAGATTATTACGATCAAATCCATTTAATAAAGTAACACACTAAGAGTGTTCACATACACCTGTTTCAGATTCCGCTGATTGAAAAAAAAGAAATTTTACCTTAATTTTATGGTTTTTGTTTGGCAGCCGTAGCTGCCAGTCATTTGACCTTTTTTTATGATTATTATCATTTTTTTTACAGAGCAAGTAATTACAATTTATTACTTTAATTTTACGTAATTTTAAATGTACTTAAAAAACACTGTAAATAATATGTAAATTTTTTTGTAAAAAACAGACAAATTGCTGTAATTTGTCATTACTTATATAGTACATAAAATAACAGTCAAGCCGTTAATTTACAGATAATGTTTGTAATTTTTACGAACTTTTGAATATAATTTAAAATAACAGAGAAAATACTGTATAGATAATACTGTAATTTCCCTGTATAAAAAACACAAATGTCAGTAATTTGTCCTTAATAATAAAGTACCTAAAATGAAAGTCAAACGGTTAATTTAGAGAGATTGGTTGTCATTTTACTAAGTTCTGGATATAATGTGAAATGACAAAACAATTACTGTAAAAAATTTAAGAATATTTTCTGTAAAATTAGTTTTTTTTTTTTACAGGCTAATAGGGGCTTTTTGAAGAATTACCAGAATTAGTGAACTTCTACCAGAAACTTACATAGGACAAACTAGAAGAGCAATAACCATAGCAACCCTTTATAGAGCTAAAGACAAAAATAAATCAAACAGAACTAAAAGAGTTTGAATTGCATTCTAAAATTTGCCCTCCTTACAACAACAAAAATAAGAATAACACTTCATACGTATTTTACAGTACAATAAAACAATTCAAACACACCCCACACACATGAATAATTAAACACAATCAAATACACTAAACAACATAAAAACAAATAAAGAGGTACCTCTGTCTACTTGAAATTAATTTGTCCAATTCACAAGGATTAAACCACTGATTTAGTTGTTTGAACACATTCACTACCATCACACAGGTATTCAATATAAACAATTTAAACCTTTCAATGATTCAAGTAGTTTCAATAGGTGTGTTCGACATGAAGCACACCTGCAAAAAGTGATCAACGAGATTAGCCGAGCGCAGTCGATGGTGGAGTTGAAAACGAAGCTGTCAAGGCGGACAGCTGGACACTTCGGGGTTCAAAGTTGTTGCAGTCATGATGACAGATCACATGACACCATCATAATTTTTTTTTTTATAACAACAAAAGATTTACAAATAAAACAGAATACAGTTTCTACAAAATATAGTTTTTTTTTACAACAATAAGGGAATTATGAATTAAATATATTACAAACTCATGAGAGAAATAAGAGGAAACAAGTCAAGTGGTTAATATGAACAAAAACAAACAGGCCTTTTAAATACAAAGCAATAACCACAAATTCTAGTAGTTTAAACATCACTCTAGGCTAATACTTCTTGTTTGAATATGCTAAAACAGGGTTTCCATTTATTTCCATTTATAGATATAAAACTTTCCAATAGATATTAATGTAAAACCCAAAACGAGGTGTTTTAACTAAGTCTGAAACAATGATTAAGATTATTTTGGATAATGAAAGGATTTTCAAAAAAGCACTTTAATCCAAAAAGATTGAACAAAAGTACATTCCTAAAAAAAAGTGAGCTACACTTTAAGTAGAAGTTTCCCAGAAAGACCAGGCATAAACGGCTAGACAGAGAGAAAAAAATATCTAGTTTATAATCATATAAATCATTTTAATTATTTAATAAAACAGTTTGATTATGATGTTAATTATATTACAAGTGTGTAAGGCTTATTTAAGTTAATATTTAGGTTATTTAATAAAATATATCATTTAAATTGTTCATGAAGCTGAATACAGTAAATAGTCTGTATAAAAAATGTTGAAAATAAACCTATGCAAACAAGCTAGCCTTTATAACCAAATTATTTAACAAAAGATGCAGTAAAATATTTGTAGTCTTTTAATAAGCATGATGTGTACAAGATAAAGAGAGTATGAAAATGTAATTCTTTGTTTTGAAATTTGTGAATCGTAACCTGTCCAATAATAAACCTGAAACACACATGGTAATATCAGTGTCGTCATCAGAGCTTGTGCTGCCACTCTTCAGATTCGGTCTAAATCAGTCGTCTGAATGAATACTTTGAATACTTTGATGCCACATGTGACACTGGGCCTTTAAGGCGAGTCATCCCTGCCTACCGTTCCCAGGTGCCTGTCAGAAACATGCCTCAATGTGAGAAAAACTACAGTAAGAACTTTACCAATGAGTATTTGCTGCATTTTTGTGGATTTTCAACAATGAGTTCACGCACACACAGTGCAGACACGCAGACACACACACACACATAGCACAGACACGTAGCGCAGACACACATGCACATACATAGCGTAGACACGCAGACACACACACACACATAGGACAGACATGTAGCCCAGACACACACACACATACATAGCGTAGACACACAGACACACACATATATATAGCGCAGACACACACAGAGAGAGATACAGTGAGAGAGACACTGTGCGGCTATGCTGATGAAGTGAATATGAGGTAAATCACTGTACTTTATTACACACGTGCACACATTTTAAAACATGTTAAACTTGTAAAACTCACTCTTGATCACGTCTGATGATGATTGATGATCCTAGCAAACTGAACAGACCTTTTATTCCCGGTTGCTTTGTGCTCGTCCTGTTTTGTCGATATGATTTTATGCATTACTACGGAGACATGTTAATGCGCACAGCAGTCAATCAATATTGGTGGGCGGGGGAACCGCACTCCTATGTAAAGTTACGGTCGATCTGAAAACCATTCCAATTGGTCCACCGTTTTTATGTTGTTAAATAAAAAAAAAAAGACTGGGTGTGTTTATTTTACCCCAATATGACAGCATATACAATATACTTACACACATGTATGTCCAAACAGCTTGAAAAGTAGATTTTTCACCATAGGTGCCCTTTAAGTAATTCATCCAGTTTAGCCACTGAGATTCTGTTAGAAGGCGCAAATGGTCATCCTTGTCCATCTGTAAAGGAGTTACGACTCAGTGGACCATTAACTAGCCGTCATAAACAAGTTTGGACCTCATAGGGACCATCATTTTGACTTCTAATAATCCTCTAAGGTTCTATCACTTTTGGGACGTTTATCCCAATTAACAGATCAACATCTGCTTTTATTAAACACAATCGAACCTCTTTCAGATGCGGCCACTTCTTTATGTCTACTTCCTTGGTATATTCTCCTGGCTAACTGGAATTGAACTTTGTGTAACAGTTTCAGGCAGTTCTATATAATAATTACTGCCCAGGGTGCTTCTTTCTAAGCCACGTAACCAAAAGGTTTTGATAGGCTTTTCCTGTCCCATTGTTTTGACCAAATTCTCAATCTATTTGCCATCCATGTTCAACAGTCTCATCAATCTCTCAGTGCAGAATGTTGCCGAACTCCCAGGATCTAAGAAAGCATATGTTTGAAACACTTTACTACCTTTAGTAGATTTTACTAAGTGTTGGAAAAGTTACTTTGGAAATGTAATAGATTACAGATTACAAATGACCCTATTTAAAATATAATAAGTTACAGTGCTTTTCGATCACTTTATAAAAGTAAAGTAACTTATTACATTTGAGTACTTTTTTATTACTTTTAAGTTTATAATGTAAATTTTCATCTAAATCATTACTAAGCATTTGAACCAAGCAGGTGTGACCTTACAGTAGCTCTGTGTACTGCTAGAATCAACGGCCTTCAGTTCACATCGTATCAGGTATTAAAAGCTTAAAAGCAAATCCATCGCAGCTCTAAAGCCAGCACAATTCATAATAAACTTGCCAGATGGCTACTCATGTTACAGCACAGCAGTAAAGCTGCCCTGTTCCTTTGAAAAAGTGTGTGTGGGGGGATGGGTATGGGGAGGTGGATTGGGGGGAGGGGTCCCCCAAAAGTTGTAACAGCATATATATATGTGCACATGCGTTCGATCAAATGGATCTTGAAGGTATGGGTTTACACCCCTGATGCATGGAGGTGTCTTCCCCCAGCGTCATGGGATTCCATTCGGGGGAAGTGGATACACTGACTTGGCTGGTTTAACTAGAAGCTGTTGGTGCCCCGCTTTGGGCTCTTGCTAAACAATTTGTGGTGTGACAGGTTTGTTGGAAAAGTCTAATCCGTCTAACTTCATGCCTTTATCATATAGCCTTGAGTCCAACCCAGACACCAGGCAGCAGTGTCGCTTCTATGTTTTTTTGACTGGTTACCTGACCTCCATCTCAGGCCACCGCTGTGGGGTCCTCCAGAATCTGACTATCCAGGAGGTTGAAAAGGCCTCCAAAAGCCCGTACGAGTCTGCCAATGTCATTAACGTGAGTGTGGCTCTGCAGATGGGGGCCACAGGTAGTATGCACTCACACACTTTCTCTCTGCTTATTCTATGTATGGCCAGATCACCATGCATAAGACAAACAGAGCCTTCTGCGTGGTCCAGTTGTCTCTCAACAAGAAGGAATACAGCTGGTTACGGAGGTTCTTGGAGCTGCGGGCTAGTCAATCTGCGTGAAACAGCACGGGGCTTCCTGGCAAACCCACCTTCACTGACGTACGAACTGCCATCGCATCTCATGAGTATTCATGTAATGCTCCTGTGGCCACATGACT